AGAGAGAGAGAGAGAGAGAGAGAGAGAGAGAGAGAGAGAGAGAGAGAGAGAGAGAGTTTTCCAGCCATGCACACAGAGAGATAGAGAGAGGCTACTTCCATCGAAGGGATATGGAAATATACACTGCTTTCCAGCCATTCTACTTCCATTGATATGATGAGCAAAATCAGAATGAATCTTGCGCTAAACATGGAAATATACACTGCCACTTCTTTTTCGTCCTTTTTTTTTTTGTGTGTGTGTGCGCGTGCCTGTGTGTGTGTCTGTGTGTGTGTGTGTGTGTGAGAGAGAGAGAGAGAGAGTTAATTTTTTTCCATCGATTGGTTGAGTCCACACGAGCCAACAGGAAAGTCTCCAACCCCGCCGCTGGCCTCACACGACTTCCATCGATAGGATAAGCAAAACCGAATGAATCTTCCGCTAGAACATCAAAAAAAATATGCAGTACTACACGTGTGTGTGTGTGTGTGTGTGTGTGTGTGTGTGTGTGTGTGTGTGTGTGTGTGTGTGTGTGTGTGTGTGTGTGTGTGTGAGAGAGAGAGAGGGGGTACTTTCATCGATGATAGGATGAGCAAAATCGAACGAATCTACCGCTAGAACATGGAAATATACTGTTTTTTTTTTTTGTTTTTTTTTTGTGTGAGTGTGTTTGTGTGTGCGAAAACTTAGCAACTGCCAGGGCATTTTGCAAAGTTGGGCAGTGTCCGGTGGGGGTTGCAAAGATGGGATTCAACTGATGGCTGGGTTGTTTCGCAAAATGTTTGTCATCATCCTTTGCCGCAGCGTAGCTGCGGCAGGTCCACTTGTTTTTTATAAAGCCCAGCGTGTTGTAGAGGCCAAGGACTAGACCCACAGTGATCGGTGGCAGCGGCAGCCGGTGGTAGTCCTGACAGGATAGGCCCCCATCCCTACCCTTCCCCACGTTAAATACTCCCAGCGCACCCCCTATCCCTACTATCCTACCTCAGTGTGACCAGCACTCAGGACCATCACCCTACCAGTATCGAGGGCAACTTGGACCAGACAGCATTGACAAGCACCAAGGGGCCGTGCCGCATCCTATCTGGGGGGTCTTACCGTTTTGTTTTTCGGCCAGGAGGCCTCCACGCAGGCCGTGGAGGCCTCCTGGCCCAAAAAAACAAATCAGACTGGGTCCGGTAGGCCCACCAAAAAGGCTTGAAAAGGGCAGCCTATCTAGACCGCTGATCTCGAGAGATCGGCAGACAAGATATAAGACCGGGCGGAAGTGAATCACATTGAAAGCAGGAAAGTCCCAGTGTCCAGAAAGCAGCATTGCACCAATATTACACCAATGGAGAATCGAAACACTGAAACCAAATGTCAATGAGAGCTTACTCTCATCCCCACCAACATACATATCCAGGCCCTCTCTCCCTACTTGGCGCTCGGCACCCAGGATACTCCCTACACAGCTACTTCCTGCCTACGAATTGACAATGCAATTGTTGACGTCAGCAGCCACCAAAGTACTTGAAGATGTCGACCAATGCAGACCATCGCCAATGCCAGGTATGCGCACGCCCTCACATCATCATCCTCATCTCTCCCACTCTCTCCCTGTCCTTGTCTTCCTCCCACGTCTTTTCCCTCGTGCACGAAGACCACCACCACCTCCACTGGCTGTCCAAGCCAAGCCCTGGCTTTGTAGGGCTGGCTATGGCGCTGCCCTCAGCAGCGCCCTGCCTTCTTCCAGCCCCGCATGCACTGCCTGGCAACTAGTGCTAGTGCACAGTGCACAGCCCACGAACGCACGCTCAAGCAGCGCTGCCGCATGCACTGCCTGGTGCCCGAATGACTCCACCAGTGGCGAGCTCTTTCCTTTATGGAAAGTGCTCGACCAGTCTGCTCCCTGGCTGGGCCTCGTGTATTTCCAGTAGCTTCCAATCGAGCCAAAGTGTCTGCGCCCAGACCCATTCAGACAGTGGTCTGGGACCGAATTGGTTGAGCCTGCCCAATCACCCAGGAGTAAACGTGAGGTTCTCCCTGCTTCGCCTGTGCTGCTGGAAGAGCCTAGAAGGCTCACAAATTATTTCTGATTCTCACGAGTACGGAGGATGTAACCAACTGGCACATGGCAACTGTCTGGCGCCCACCAAACTTTGCCAAGATTGACGAACTCAGGCCATATTGAAATTCAGGGGCCCGCCTTCACTTAGGGCGGGCTCATGCTTTCTGAAAGGGCCCTACAGGGGCATGCCAAGGAGCCAACTCGTAACAAGGCCTCATCGAAGATCCATGCCCACATGGGGTTTACAACAGGTTCTGCTTGGGCCCCTCAGCCTCGTCTCATAGCCCTATAAACAGGCATTGGCACATATTTGCAGGCCCACCTTCACTTAGGGCGGGCACGGCACTTTCAGACACTGCCGAGGGACAATCCTCGCAGAAGGTTAACATTTCCGGAAAGTCAGATACATTGTTGTTATCAATGTCTGCTGAAGCCCGTGCTTGCTGAAACCCCACCACTAACACCCTCACCATAACCCCCCCAACCCCTGAAATACACCCCCCCCCCCCCCCCCAAAACCCCCGAGTGAAACTTCTCTGTTCAAAGTTTTCTTTGCGAATTCGGGGAGATCACGGCGACCACAGTCCAATCATGTTTTCAAAACATAAAAAAAATAAAAATTGGCCCACTTCTGGGCGCAACCAGAATTCCGGTTGGACCACCGGGGGTCCAACCGGCCGGTTCCCGGGAACAGCCTAGATATTAACAGATTATGGTTTTGAGGGTCATTCGTTACAAAAACACTTTCCCTTTCATGTGGAGTACAGGAGGTCGTGGAGGAGGGAGGATGTCCCAGGTAGAGAGCCAGAGGATGAGGAGAAGAGAAAGGTGCAAGTGAGAAAGGTGGAGGGAAGAAGAGACGAAGCATGCAGAGAGCTGTCGATCACAATATCATCAATAGAATTGAATAATGCACCGTCAAGTTGTGTCAACAAGATAAAGTGGTGATGTCAGAAGGTAGGAAGGCCAAGAGAGAAGCTCGTGTCAGAAGAAATCCATAGGGAAAGGAGGACATGGAAAGTACTAGAGAAATGGGTGAGAAATTTGAGGCACATAGACCCAACTGGATGATGCTTGTTCAGGGTGCACAAGCGGCTGATGATAGAGGAAGAGGAAGCCAAGACAAAGCAAGGGAGAGAGAGGGAAGCCAGAGGAAAAGGAGGACATGGAAAGTACTGGAGAAATGGGTGAGAGAATTTGAGGCACATAGACCCAACTGGATAATGCTTGTGCAAGGTGCATACAGGAAGAGGAGGCCCAGACAAAGCAAGGGAGAGAGAGGAAAAGGTGGGCGGTGAAGTTCAGAGTGAGCTAGATGACCTCTTCTGGAGTTCAATTTGATTGAATTCATGATTCATTCACTGAGCTAGAGCGTTTTCCTTTTTCCGATTCATTGAATTCGAAATACACCTTGTTTAAAGAGAGGCAGGGAGAGGGAGAAAGGAAGGGGGAGAGAGAGAGGGGAGAAAGGGGGGGGGGGAGAGAAGTACATTCAATGGATTTGGTTCATAGTGGCCTAAGTGGATCGACAGGAAAGGGTATGAGATATACAAGAGACGATGGTGGAGGTGGGGGAGGAAAGGAGGAAAAGATGGCGAGCCTAAGGAGGAGGATGGGAGGAGATGGCAGAGTTTGATTATAAGCTGACAAGAAGACAGACGGCAAGGAGATGAAAGGAGGAGAGGAGAAAGAAGGTTGTGATCAATCACGACATGACGAGGAGGCAGCCTGGATGTGGAGGAGGAGGTGCAGAGGATGAGGGGAAACAGCACCTCAATACACAACCTGTGTATTCCAGACCTATGCAGATTGTGGACGTTCCTTGCAGAATGTCTGTCTACAGTGAATTCTTGATTGCAAAGTAACAGGCTGAACACAAAGCACAGCCATATCGCACATTTGGGCAGACCCAACATGGAGAAGGGATTCAGAGTTATGTAGAGGGGTAGACATCTTTGCACGTGTACTCTGGTATGCTGACAGTAGAGAGCAAAGGTGAATATAACTCCGGGAATGAGAGTACAGCAGATTCACACCAGGGCTATCATAGAAATCTGTCGGACTCGGTCAGAAAGTCCATGTGTTTGTCCAGAGTAGAGCTCAACTTACCCAGCAGCAGGCAGTTGTTGACAAAAGGTGCAAATTGAATTGCCACATTTGCCACAAAGAAGGTTCAGGAAGCATTCCATACAGGGGCACATCAAATAAAGACACTACAGATGCAACTTATTGACAATAGTTATTGACAGGGAAGCTTATTAACAATACAGGGGCGCATCAACAGGGAAGCTTATTGACAATAGTTACTAGTAATTCAGATAAAGATGAACCATTACAAAGCAACGTAACTCACATCATCTGATTCATCACCGGGCGGCACTCTTTTGAATGAATGTAGCGCATGTGGGAGTTTCACATCCAAATAACCATGGTGACTCTTCTGCACGCGCATCAGCACTTTCCACCTGAAATGGTAACACACATTTTTGTTAGCAAACCGACATCCCCGCCTCCAGACACGTGCACCCACAAAAACCTACTTCATACTGCTCCACACAAAGACAAGCTGGCAGCAAACGTAAGTTGTGTGCTAATGCATGCCAAGATGATGCAAAGTTGAAAGACCAACACGAGGAAGAGATGCAATGTGATGCAGTGGACAATAAAGCAACAAGACGATGTGGCTCAGATCCTATCCCACACCAAACAGTGAGGTGTAGAAACATAGATGATAGAACAGCATCCCTGGGATGACAGAGACCTGAGCGATATGCACAACAGATGTCTTGAAGAAGAAGGCCGGTTACGATCGGTGGCAGACCTCCAAGATATGGCACCAGCTGAGTAGGTAGACTCAACTGCACCTCCAATCTCTCCTGGCTCTACCGGCACTCATACCTTCCCCAACGCTATGTTGCTCCTCTGCTCTCGCTCGCACTGTGGAGTCACATGAATGAATGAAAGGCAACCGACTTCCTAATGGACCGGCCTCTCCTCTAGATTACTGCGCCAGCCACCAACCAACTCGGCCACCTTCCTAGGCCTCCAACCAGATTAAGATCCCATGACCTGCAAGGGAGGACATGTCCTGCTCAGTCACGCAGGCCCAAAAACAAGTGGCCTGGGTCGACCCTATCTCATCAGCTGGGTCTGGACCATGAACTGGCCTGAGCACAAGAAGTCTGACAGAGGCCCAGGCACAAACAGATGAGCTGCGCCAAAAGACCAAAAGGTATGGGCCACAGGTGTGAACATGACAAACCTATGCCTGTTTGGGCCAAGCCCTGAAAAATGCAATCTAGAACAGGACAAGACGAGCTGGCAAAAAGGAAAACCGTACTGTGATAACAACAAAATAAGTGCAATCGGAACAAAGCAAAGTTCGCAAACTGAATAACACTGAACTGAGAACAGACAAAACACACACACCGCTAGACTCAGAACGGGCAAAATGCGAACACGCCTGTCTAGGAACTCACCCACCAAAGGGCCTTATGATGGCTGAGGCCTTCTTGGCCAATAGAAGGGGTAGGCAGCCGAGGGGCCTATTAAAAAGATACTCAGGCTCCCAGGCCCAGTGTAGGAGGCCCCAGCATGCCACACACGCACCTCCTCAATAAGCAGAGCCCCTACTAGAGGGCACCCGAGCATTCCGCGGGCAGGCAGGTTGGGCCTCTGAGGCTGTCGTAGGTGCACGGTGCTGACTCTCATAGTCTGCTAAAATATATGGTGTTGTGACCATGAGGTCCTCGTGGTAAGCCAATGATTAGGATGAGGTTTGCAATAGGAGAAGTGAAAATTGTAGCACATGGGCTTCTTGTTGTTGTGCCAATGGGTAACTATCTCCTGAACATCCTGAAACCCATCCAGAACGACAGCCCGCAAAACCATCACTCTCTGCATCAGCATAGCCGACTTAGACTTGACGCACCCGATGAACATCAAGATGCGGAAGGAGATGGAGGATACATGAAGCGCCAACGGGCTCATCCCTGAAAGGAGCCAGAATACAACAGATCCCAACCATTCGGGGAGGAGTTTCCGAGAAATATCCAGCTCCTAACTGACCTCCTCCGGCAGAACCTAAACACGATCACCTGTACGAAAGGGGCAACACGATCAATGGCAGTTTGATGCTGGATGCGAAGCTGCACACAAGTCATCTCGGGCTTTCACAATCACGTCGTGCAACTTGGTCTTGAGTGCCAATGTCCCGGGAACATCTGTCTCAGTCTGGCAAAGAATGAGGGAATCCGAAGGGACTTAATCCGGTGTTCCATGCTCCAACTCAAATGATGACATGTCAATGGTACGATGAACAAACGTGTTGTACTCCAAAGAAACATCGCCAGGATGTTCTTCCCAATCTCGACGCTCCAGATGAATGAGAGTTTCAAAAATCCGGCCCCTCTGTAGGACTGAGGCTGACTCTTTGGCGCCGTGCATGGTATGGCAATAACTGCACGTAGTTTGTCAAATGGTCAACCACAGTCATAATCCCATTAATACCGAACCCTTTTCCATGGCGATTGAATCATGGGGCTGAGTCAAAATCAGACATGGCTGCAGCCCTGAATACGGCGTACGGCATGATAGCGTGCCATGCTGCACTGGCAGCTCGGAAGTATGACAATACTCAATGACACTAGATGCCATCACTGAGCAATAAAGCCTCTCACTAAGACAAGCCACAGAGCGATTTACCCAAGGTGTACTGCGTGCCAAGCATCATTGTATTTGCCTAGGATAGTACAGGAAGGCCCATCGTGAGGAACAGAAGTAAATCCTGGGCACACGTGTCAAAGGACCCAATCCCGAAAATAATACTGAGATGCCAGAGGAGTGGGTAACGAACATTGTGAGTAGAAACTCATGCTTCGATTCATCTCCCCGAGCAATGTGACGCTGCTTGTCCTACTGAAGTGAGAGCACGTGCTGGGCGACTGGCCAAAGGTCTGTTCTCCTAGATAAGAGCATCCGCGAGCCAGTTCGACTTGCCAGATGTATGCCAGATGTCAAAGTTGAAGTAATCAATTTAGGCCCTCCAGCATGCAATCACGTTGTTGACGTGTTTTGTGTTTGAAGAAGACTAGTGGATTGTTGTCCGCAATGCACACAACGTAAAAATGTCTTGTAACATTCCAAGATTGAGCTGACCGTAAAAAGCTCCTTCCTTGCATCATTCATCGCAAACAGGGGGAGCCTCCTTAGTAAGGTACTCAACTGGATGGAAAACGTCTCCATTGCTCTATTCAAGCACCACGCCATACTGCACCACTGGTAACCTGCACTGTCATGGTAGGCTCGAAGATGCACAAAACTAAGGCTCCCAACATAGCTGCCTTCAGAGACCCAAAAGTCGTGCGAGCATCCTTGTTGAAGTTGTTTCAAGGTCGCAGCAAAGCACTAATAGTAACCTCCCAATCCAAAAAAAGAACATATGCCGATGACGTAAGCAGGTTCAGGCCAACGTTGAAGGAGATGCATCTTGTCCTCCAGAGGACGAATATTGTGAGGCGTGATGAAATGAACTACGTACCCATGAGGCGTAATGAAATGAACTAAATACTCTAACCCCTGGTCGGCAAACTCACACTTGACGTGGTTTGCTTCGTACTTGGCCTGGCAGAGCCATCCAAGATCGCATGTAGGCGCGCTCTAAATCATCCTCAAATGCCTGACTGTAGATCAAAATATTGTCAAGATAGACGAGGATAAAGTGATCTACCATGGCTCGAACCTTGTTTCTCATTGTGGCTTGGAAACCTCTCCGGCACATTGATTATGCCGAAAGGCATGAGAATGTACTCGACATGCCCATTGCATCTTGAACGTGAACTTACCAGGTGACCTAGAGAAGCAAAGGGCACCCCTTCAGTGCTGGAGTAAGTCATCAATGCATGGAGGGGAGTCTACATTCTTCGATGTTTGTGCATTAAGCTTTAAGATGTCGATCAAAAGTCGTGGGTCCTCCTTTTGTACGAAGAGAACAAGAGTGCCCAAAGGAGAGCTGCAAGGAGTCATACACACCCTTAACAAGCAAATAGTTGATCTTGGAGAAGATCAAGCTCCTTTGCACTCTTGTGATAAATGCAACCCTTTGGAGTGCCCCCATCATGAAGAAGTATCTCACGTAAAATAGGGCAGTCCTCAACACCTCCCAAAGGGGACTGGAATACATGTGCAAATCGCTGCGAAGTGTGCAACATTCACGTATCCAAAGATGCATTTATGTCAAAGAATACGGTGCAAAGCCACATATAGAAAAGATATGTAAATCTCGGTGATGCACTCGTATGCACAAGTTGTCAGAAGTCTGTCGCCAAAGTAAGGTGGCAAGAGATTCAGGGATAAGGAAGAGGTCTGCCAGGTGTCTCTCACTGCCCAAGGTGAGATCAAATGGTGTGTCAAGGATGTTGAACTTGGTCTCCCGCATGTGAAGTGCAAAGTACACGGACATGAAGCCAAGGCGTCGATCCATCCTCTATCTCGTACCATCATCAGTCAACGCAAACTAGGTGGAGTATGCCTACCTATGGACTGCCACAAGCCAATATTCCGCATCGCTCTGCAATCAAGTAAAGCTTTGCACACCACTTGGTTAATAGGAATGTGAATGTACAGCAGTGGTGCATCAGTGTCCTCGTACCGTTGCGTGTGAAACTCCCTCCTAAACTTTGAAAGATAAGACTAAAGGCAGGTCACCTGAAGGCCCTCAACCCTGCTATCCAACAATAGGGCCGTCATTGCAAAGTGTATATATTCCCGTAAGTGTGCTTGTAAAGCAACACAGTATAACTTCCACGAACGGCCCATAGGTAGAACGGTAACCAATCGAAGTACGCTGGCTCCAAAGGGTCTAGACTCTGAAGCAAGTAGGAGCGGTTGTCCCAGCATGGATGTGCCATCGGAAGTTACACATGCGTAGTTCCTTTAGCAACGCAAGTATGGAATGTGCCATCGGAAGTTACACATGCGTAGTTCCTTGAGCAAGGAGGAGAGGTTGTCCCAGTATCGAGACAGACATACACTGGCATGCGAGGAAAGGGAGAGAGAGGGAGAGGGCGAAACACAGAGAGGGAGGGATAGGCAGTGACAGGCAGAGAGATGGAAAGGCAGCGAGACGAGAGAACGATTAAGAGAGGGAGAGAGGGTGAGAGGCAGAGACAGGCAGAGACAGGAAGTGCGAGGCAGACAGAGGGAGACAGGTCGGAGAGGCAGAGATGCAGAGAGGTAAAGATGGAAAGAGGAGAAGAGAGAGGGGAGGAGAGAGAGAGGGGACGAGATAGGTCATGCGCAGAGAAGGGAAAGAGGTATCATACCCATCAACTTGCATTGAGCTTGCCTTTGCAACATCAAGAAGAAATTTGTCCACGTATGCTTTATCCGTGATGTGAAAATGTTTACCCTGAATTCAGTGCCAACAAACAATCTTCACTTTTGTTTGTCTTTTGGGCAATAATACGATAAAAGTACTCCATGATAATCAAAGCATGACTTACAAATCGCAACACCAAGAAACTCTGACAGCTCATAGAATGGGATAGATAACATGCTCGTGTAGAAAGATAACAATCAATCCATGGTTCATGTTAAGTTGCATGTTCAAAAACGTTTGCCAACTCATTCTGTTCTAGTATTCAGGAGTTTCCTGAATATGCAATGAACCCAATCGGAAGAGAACCTTGTCAATGTCGAAACACAGAATGTCTCAGCGCAGTTTCAATGTCTCCAAAATCGTACATATAGTCAGGTAGCCCAATGTCTGGTCACCAGAGAAGAGGATGGTGGAAGGGAAAGACTTAGGTGGAAGAGAAAGTACCCATCAACATAGCAGATAGTTATACCCGAAAAGTTTGAAAACCTCTGCAATCAGTGAGGAACCAGTCTAAGTCTTGAGAGTGATCCTTTCATATCGGTGGGCACAACATCCTCTTTGCGTCGTTAAATAATTCTGGAGGTCTGTGCTGGCTGACCTTGAACTGGCGGTTACCTGCCGGATGTTAAGAGAACTGTACTGACAGAAGTGGGAAGGGAATTAGTTTGTCAGACCCTGATTTAGATTAGGATTAGTGTAAGTGTTGAGGATTGTTAAGTGTTGAGGTGTAGATCTATGTCGTGAGGAGGCGGAGTCACTTTACCTGTCCTGACCATCGCAATGAATGACTACCCGATGTTTGGCTTCTTGGCGCTGTCTGCTATATGGGGGCCCCTCCTCCGTTTCCTCTTTCCATTGGGATTTGTGCGGACCTCCGGCATGCATGTGACGAGTCGGTCCGAAGCATCCCCACATCCATACTCCACTGAACAGCAGGCTGAGATCGATAGAAGGGTGGCGGAGAAGAAGAAGGAGAAAGAGGATAAAAAGAAGGACAAGAGAAAGAGGAGGAGAAAGAGAGATTAGAGAAGTAGAAAAAAGACTTGAGAAAAGAAGTTAAAACTGCTGGAGAAACAGAAAGAGCACACTGAAGCAGTAGTAGTAATAGTAGTAGTAGTAGAAGAAGAAGAAGAAGAAGAAGAAGAAGAAGAAGAAGAGGAGGAGGAGGAGGAGGAGGTGAGGCTGGACTACCCCAGCCATAGGGTTGAAGGAGGTGTGCGGACCGAAAAGGGAGAATCCAGTCAACTGCATTTCTACCCAGTTGACACCCAGACGTGGATGGAGAAGTTCGGGTTGAAAAAGGATGAGCAGGCTGAAGAGTCAGAGGCCGAGAGGGCTGAACTCACAGCGAAGTTGGAGGCGATAGAGGACGACGCTGAGAGGGAACCGCTGATGCAGGAAAGGGAACATGAATTGCATCAGAGGCTCCTGATAAAGAAAAGGGCGGAGCTGGAGAAGAAGAGGAGATTGAAAGCTGAAGGGGAAGCGATTGAACGCCAGCTTAAGGAGCAGAAAGGCCGTGAGGGGGAATGGAAAGACGACCGTGCTCTTATGGTCAACGCCCTGCTGCATACTAACCAGGAACTCGCCGCTATAAATAAGTCTACCGCCCGATTCAAACAGCACAACCATGAGTTCACGGGCACCTGGAATAACTATTTGTCGTCGCCCACCTGATAGATGAGCGCGTCAGGGGATATGCACAACAACTGGAAGGAATATTCACCTCGAAATTAGTAAACACCCTCGCCACGATGAAGTCAGGAGGTGGTGGTGGAGGTGGCGATGACAGTGGTGATAATGAGACGGGACGCAAAAGGCCCTAAAAAGGAAGGAGATCCGAAGGGGGAAGAAAGGTCATCCGAAGGGGGAGAGAGGAGAGAGAAGATGAAGGTAAAGATCCCCGGGACCTATCACGGAAAAAGAGAAGAAAACTTATATCAGTGTGAGGCACACACGGGCGCCTACCTATACGGACAGATGATACCATATTGGGACCCGTGTCTTGATGGCAAGTCCGTGCCTCGGGGGAGATGCTGCGGATTTTTCTCTCTCCCTAATGAAGGAGGCAGGGTACACATCAATGGTAGAATACTCCCAGCAGACCCGCATTGAAGATTTCTTCTTGGCCTTAAAGAACAGTTTGAGGACAAGAACCTGGCTAGACATCCTCAACATAGCCGATCAAAAATGGAAGTGTGTGTCGGCACTAAAGGCCACTTTGGACGAACACTTGCAGTACCCCGAGCATGGTCTCACTCCAGCGCAAATCTTGAACAACTTTGCACGAGCACTCCCCGAACCCCATCGATCCCAACTGTATGCCTAAACCAAGGAAGAGGGCAGGACATACAAAAAGTTTAGTAAGACGGTCGTAGACCACGCCGGCTTCCTCCAACAGGGCATCGGTGATGAGCTGATCACTCGTCGCCAAGCTCGGGCCGAAATGATGAAGAAGAGCAATGGGCAGCTAATATTAGCAGATGTAGAGATACGTAGAGAGCGAGTATGCGCGCGTTAGTTGATAGTGGATCTACGCATAGCTACATTAGCCGGACGGGACTGCAGAAGATGTGCCTCGGCATGAATGTGTGGCATAGACCGAATAGTGGCTGAAGATACTTTCCGAACAGGTCAAGGCCGCAGAGGCAATACAAGGTCAGGTTTGCCTATCAGAAACCCAGCGAAGACCGCTGGTTCCCTAGGGAGGAACTAGTACAGACAGACCCTCACATTGTCTCCTATTATGAGAGGGCTAGACGAGGAGTAAATGGTTATGATCGATACAGTTGAAATTTTTCTCGGAGGACATCGAAATTAGGCCGGCAGGAGTGAAAGGATTCACCCTGCAGACACCCAGTCACGGTCCCAAGGTCCCGACAAGTCACAAGTCCCACGGTTGTCCCGTAGGGTAGGCTGTAGGGTCTTGTGGTCGAAGTGTCGTAGGCCAGTAGGTGTTGGTACCGAAGCGTCGTAGGTCGGTAGGAGTCCATCCAGTACCCGACAAGAAAAGTCCACAAGCGTCCAGTCGACAGTCCCAAGTCCAATTCTGCAGCATGTCCCAAGAAAGTCTGGAAGCTACCGAGCCGACAAGATGTTTGCAACAGACAGGCCACGGCCGACCGGTACCGGTCTGAAGCAGGTCAAAGCCAAGCCAAGCCAAGCAAAGCCAAGTCCTATATTTAGCTCCTACAATGCAGCGGCTCATGACTTGTTCAGTTGCGAGATCCGGAAGCGCTGCTGCTGCTCGTGCGTCAAGGCAACTTGGGCAATGTGCACCTGACGAAGAAGGGGGTGCTTGGACCATACTCGATACCTAGGCTAGAGGTAGAGCAGGAGGACGGCGTCCATAGCCGGCCAGGTGTAAGCTACCTCAGTGGGTGTATCCAGGGTGACTATCTGGGCTAGTGTTTGTGTGTGTGTGTGTGTGTGTGTGTGTGTGTGTGTGTGTGTGTGTGTGTGTGTGTGTG